CCAGCTGTTGAAGCTCGACAGCCGGTGCAAACTCTGCCTTGAACCTGGTCATAAAGTCCGTCCAGGTCATAGCCTCGACAGCCGAGGCTCCCAATGAGTCACCAAAAGACTCCCACCAGTCTCTAGATCTGTCTCTCAGACACCCTGCTGTGTATCTCACCTTCGACCCCTCGTGGCAGAAGCTAGTCAATTGTGCAAACTCGATGTCTATAATCCACCGCCTGGCAGCTATGGGGTACTTCGCTCCGTGAAAGTCTGGCGCACCACTGCCCCTGAAGTCCTTAAAGGACAGCGTGCAAGATCCCGGCTGGCTAGATGCCATGTCGCTCCTGAATGCCCTAAGGCGATCCTCCATCAACTCAACTATCCCTTCCTTGATCGACCCGAAGATAATGGGAGTCGACTAAAGGATGCCCCTGGTGATCTCTGACGCAATGAAATCGTGTAGCCTCTCATCCCCTAGCTTGGAACCTGATCCCTCTCTTGAACTGCCAACTGTTGGCCTCGATCGTAGTACCACCATTCTGCAATATATAAACAAGCGACTGTTAGTGATACTGATACCTCTTGAGGAACCACATTCACTACAAGTTCCCTGGTCTTATCTCGACCTTCCTTGGTTCGGGTATGGATCATCTGCTTCCAGTAGTACGGGCCCATACTACCTTCCACATCTATCCGTACCTTCTTCAAGGACTACTTGACTCCACCAGATCCCTTTTTACCACTGCTGAACACTGCTATCTTTATCCTAGGCTTAACCTTAGAAAAATCTCTGACTCCACTTAAACCAATCCTTAGCTGCTGAAGCCTCTTATAATGCCAATTAGCCATCTCTTGAATACCATCACATGTGACGAAGCTCGGATAATCCTTCAAGTAAAAGACTCGTCGCTACCACGATTGGACTCAAACGAGAGCTGCGCAGCCGGGCCAAATCCAACACTCTAAGATTATCCAATCCTGATCCCATGTGATGTGATGTATTCACCTAATGACTAAATCGCATCACTTGGAGTCCCGCAAAGCACAAAGCAAGTAGCATTCGGATACAAGAACTACTCAAGGAATTTTATTCTCATAACAAAAAACTGCACTAGCATTCAACGCTGAACTCATACTATCAGGCATAACCTAAACAGGCTATCCTACTGCTGTCTACTCAATTTCTAGCATGCAATTCACATAAGGCTGAAACACAAAAGCAGGCAGGTAAGGCATCCTCCTAGATCCTTAGTCCTATTCTAGCATGCTATTCTACGAAAACTGATAAACATAGTATAACATTGTATGGGTACTTTGGGGAATACTTACTTGAGCTAGACCGGTCGCGCACATCACACACTTTGTTCTTTCTTAAAACTCTTTACTTAATCTTTTTAGAAAACTTTTTCTTTTTCGAAATCCTTTAATCCATCGGTTTGAGTTCAGACACTCCCGAAGGTGTGTCCGAATCCCTCAAACCAGGGCTCTGATACCAACTTGTAACGACCCAATTTTCACAGCCAAAAATTTCATTTTCAAATCAACACTTTGGAAAACATTTGGGAAAAAAAAACATCGTCATTTCATAAACATATTTCATGTCCGAAACCAAAACATAAAAACAACTATAATGTTAGAGTACCAATCCCAGAACATCTCGTAGTGCGGAAAACAAAGAGCGTGTGTGATATGCAGCTACCGTGCCAGCTCCTTCCCCTTCGCGGAAGAGGTACCTAAAACAAAAACTGAAAACCGTAAGCACGAAGCTTAGTGAGTTCCCCCACCGAACCACATACCAAACAACCACATAATATACATATATTGTTAGGCATATTTGGCTGCCCGACCTACCCCTTCGGTCCTCTTGATCGGATACTGACTAGCATATCTGGGTGCTGGTCTCCCCTTCTGTCCTCTCGAACGAATACTGACTAGCATACCTGGGTGTTGGTCTCCCCTTCGGTCCTCTCGACCGGACACTGGGGACTATTTCACCCCTACCACTACCACATAACATGTATCACATAATCTATCTAGCATGGATGGGCATATCTGCCCCTTCGGTCCTATCGACTGGTATTCTGGGGACTATTTCCCCTACTGCCACTAGCACATAGCATCATATCATACTAGCACATAAACATAACACAGGTAGTAGCAACCCTAGATGAATATCACAGAGAAAATCATCTAAACATACACTCCTACTAGTGGGCCGGCATTGTGGCCTTAGACCCACTACTACTGGAAGGTAACTCACCTCGTAGTAACTACTGAACTGTGCGGGAATCCTCTGACTGTTGCCACTGCTGCTGCTCCGAAATTTTACCCCTGACCAAGTCAAAGTCAAAGTCAGCTTCTAGTTGACCTGACTCGCCGAGTTGGCTCGCCAACTCGCCGAGTCCCTATCCTTCGATTAGACCTCAAACCCATCTTTTACTCGTCAAGTTAGGCGATGACTCGACGAGTTTTCCTTCGAAAAGAACACCGAATGAATCCACATCCGACTCACCGAGTTGTATGAATAACTCGCCGAGTACCATGAATATTGCATTGGGCTCGCCGAGTCCGTTCATGCACTCGGCGAGTACTATGAATTCCCAGAACACTTTGCTTAGTCCAGAATGTTGGGTCACTCCCCGGGACTCCTAAAAACCCTTCCACACTCAACTGGTCCTTATGACCCTCACTGGTATGGGACCAAAACCCCTAGACTCGCCGAGTCCAGCAATGGACTCGCCGAATCTATCTCATTCCTTACCAAGAACTTTGATTTCTGATGTACAACACTTAACCAAATGATAGATCCAGGAACCTAAACTCGATCTAGCACGTAAAGTTACAAACTTTACGTGCATGTATAGGACATAATATCTTAAAAGTCTCTAAAATGGTTCTTTTGTTGCATGGGGCCTTCCTTGGTGCATAAAGCAACCTAGATCTGACTTGTGGCTCATAAAATGACGTGATACAGAAGTCCAAACCCCCAACCATGTTTGCAAACATGGTTGGCCACCAAAAATGGCTTAAAAATCCCTAAATCACCTCAAAGAGGGATCTAACAAATGAATGAGCAAGGTTCAGATTTTATACCTTCCAAATACTGCAAATGATGAACCAAACTCGAATCCTTCAGTCCCCTCTTGATCCTTTTATGCTCTTCCTTCTTCCTTGAGATCAAAACTCATAAGAATCACTCAAAAAGCCTTAGGTCTTCACAAAACGGCTAGGGTTTGCTATGAGGAGGGTTTGGGAGCATTAAGGGGGAAAGGAGGCTGCATAAGGTCGTTTAAGTAGGTGCAAACCCATGGATTAGGGTTTTTGTCCAAACAAAGGCTACTCGCCGAGTCCGCAGCTCCAACCCCGCGCCTCATCCCGCTTCTACTCGGCGAGTCAGTCCTTCAACTCGCCGTGTCCAAGGCTAAAAATGCAAAAATAAATGAAGATTTAATAACAGAGTACGTACCAAGAACTAGGTGCTACAACATTCTAGGAGTACCTGCACTTCAAGTTAGGAAGATGATAAGTAAAACTTCAAAATGATTTACAAAAATTATGTTAGGAAGAAAATAAGGAGGAAATAGGGAGGCAGTAGTGAACACCCAAATGGAGATTTGATGTTAATGTCTTATTTAGCCTTTCGCACAACATTTGGTATGCATGTTTTGGAATCTTGGGTCTTGTAATAACTTTTCTTGACACATTTGACACATCTTTTGGAATGTATATTTTCCTATGCATTTTTGGATTTTTTTATTCATGTAAGACACTTTTGCACATCTTTTGTAATGTCATTTGTGATATTTACCATCTTTAGTAATGTTATTTAGAAGTTTGTACATGATTTGTATGTCAATTACATCGTGGCAATTAGACTTTTCTGCTAATTACATCAAGTAACAAGAACACATGATTTAGTCATAATACATTAAACTTTCATGGCATTCAAAACTTCATGAACTACATGATTTAGTATTAATACATCAGATAGGATACAACAACCATCAAAATTTCAAACTACATCGTTTACATACAAGAAAAATAACACAAAAAATAAACTTTGTGAGGAAACAACTTCCAATTTACTTTGTCCAATTCTTGTCTGAAAACAAAATCGAAGTTCTTCTTTCTTTCCAGTTTCATCATGCATATACTAATTTCCTTTTACAATGTAATTGCAGGTTTGTCCCAATTTCTCTTCTCTTATACCATCCATTGTGCATTCATCTTCATCCATCCATGCCTAAAATTTACATTTTGGAGTTCTACTCTTCAAGAAAAGTATTGAAAAGGTTAAATTTAAGAGAAATATGAAGAATAAGCATCATTTAGCAACAATTCAAAAAAATTGGTTTACAAGTGCGTTTTTTGACACACTCAAAATTTTGTTCTAGGATTGTAGGGGTTCCTTGAAGTCTTCACACGAGATGGTACCTTGCTATCACATGGATGGTTAGCTTGAAATTCATTACTTCGTATGGAAGAGAAAGATGAAGCAGAAGAAGCCATTATCGATGTTGATCTAGGACTTAATTAATGAATAAGTCGTATATAACTCCTTTATAATGCAATGATGTGTATTATGCCACGTAACATAACGTATATTCTAACCAAACCTTAAATTAGTCATGTCAGTTGCAACCTACATTAACCGGTAATAATAATATAATGTGAAAATATAAAACAAGTTAGTTGGTTATACGTGTAAAAAAAAGTTAATATAACAAACATAAGAAATAGTTACCAAGTCATTTTCCGTATTTGTAAAGGTAACTTGATCACTTGCAATTCATTAAACTCCAAAAAAAACTATTTTACATTTTTTTCTCTCACGTGTATGAAATTAACAACTCAAATTTAACATGTTCATAATTATAAACTAAAAACACAACAAAGAAATAATAATAAATAAAAGTAGAAGTGAAATAACTTTTTGAACACAAGTACACAAAGCAACGAAAAATGGACAGTTGTACACCACATAAAAGACACAACAATTCCCACTTTTGGTTTTTGACTTTTTGTTCATATACCTTATTCCTACACTTCATCCATTGAGGTCGTCTCTCCATATATACCCCCTCATCCATGGTCATACAACTACTAATCGATCAAGTTTTTCAAAAACTGAAAGTAGCTATGGAGGATTTTTTCCAGTCTTTGCCGGAAGGATTCGTAGCTGCAGCATTGGCACTCACCAGCCCTCGAGATGTTTCCCGATTGTCCTCCATCAATTCCGTTTTCCGTTCGGCGGCACAGTGGGACAGCGTTTGGGAGAATTTCACACCGCCGGAGTACCTGAAGGAGACGGCGGACGGTGGTGCAGTCCTATCGAAGAAGGAGGTGTATCTACGCCTCTGTGATCATCCAGTCATCATAGATGAAGGAAACAAGGTATACTTTCGAACAATTTTCCTATAACTACATGATTTCACCGTTTCTGTGATCCTTCTACCAATCAAAAGTCAAAGCAAATGAAATTCGTTTCTGAGATCTCGTAACAGGAGAGAAGCTTCGAATTGTGTTAATTCAGTCTTATTCTTTTCATCTAATTTTCATCAGAGTTTCTGGTTGGATAAAAGGAGCGGGAAGAAATGTTACATGTTAGCTGCGAGACAATTATCAATCGCTTCTTCCGATTCCCCAAATTGTTGGAAATGGACACAAACACCAGAATCAAGGTATTAATTAACACGTTTTACAGTTCATAAATACAAAATGTTATGTTATCTTTCTCAATTGAACTCCAATTACAGATTCACAGAAGTAGCCGAACTTGTGAGTGTGAGTTTGCTTGAAATCATCGGCAAAATCAGTACTTCAATCTTTTCCCCTGATACAACTTACGTTGCTCTTCTTGTGTTCAAAACAACATCGAAAGCTTATGGGTTTGAGTACCAACCGGTGGAGGTCTGTATAGGTTTTCACGGCGACCGGAGTCGAACCCGGATGGTGTATCTCGACCCTGAAGCAGGGCGGAGACGAGGACTCCGATCAAGGAGAGGGATTGGGATGTTTAGCAAAGGAGGATTCGCGAATTTGGATGTGGTGCCTCCGCCTTCTAAAGAGAATGGTCCAAAACAAAGAGAAGATGGATGGTTTGAGATTGAGATCGGAGAATACTTTAATGGCGGTGGTGATGCGGCGGAAATGGAGTTGAGTGTGGCGGAGGTCAACGGAGGGAATTGGAAGACTGGTCTTGTTATTGAAGGTATCGAGTTCAGGCCAAAAACTTTTGTTGATTAGGATAATTGATTAAGAATTAAGAGTGAAGCAAGTAGTTGTGAAGTTTAGTAATATGGTTGTATATTTATCTATATGATTAACTATTGATTGATTGATGATTAGGATAATTGCTGAAAATAAAATGTATACATACGAGTGAATTTTTGGAATTATATTTTGAAAGCCTTTTTTTTTTTTTTTTTTCTCAATTTGCACATTATTTATTTTAAATTTAGAGCTAATCATGCCTTGAAGATTGAGAGCGACGCCATGAAGGAAAGGTGTAAAGTGATTGAAAGAAATAAATAATTGTAAATTACACGAATCGTCTCTCGTGTAAAGCTAAAACGCACGTTAGGTTCCTATTTTTAAAAATTAACTCGGACCATCCATCGCTTAGTTAAAAATTACACGTCTCATCCATCTAAACGTAAAATGACCTTTTTGCCCTTATTTATTATTTTTTTTGATTTATTTTTAGTTATTAATTATTAATCCATTAAAAGAAATTGTTTATTAATTATTTATCTATTTTTTAATTAAATTAAAATGTGTAAAAATATTTCATAACCTAATTACCCATAGACCATCACCCCCAATCTTAAAATCGATGCCGGTGACAAACAAAACCCTTTCTCTCTTCTCCCCACCGGAAACCGCCGACCACCACCGGTCCACCGCCCCTTCTTGCATCTCCTTCTTCCTATTTTTAGTTGGATCGACACAACCAAGACCCTCTAATAACACTAACTCTCCTTGTTCTTCATCCAAACGCACCAATAGAACACACGATTCAACTCCTTTCCTTTCAATCAAGTTGCAGGTTTCACATTATTTCTTCCACTCTTCTCTCTTCTCAAAATCGGTACCAAAGCACACCATATTCTCATTTAATTCTCGGATTTCAGATGTTAATTTGTGGTAGTGTGGGATAGATGTACGTTTGATGGTGACTGGGATGGTGCTTTTTTGGGTGGTAGATGACAATTATGGTGGCTGTAATGGAGGGATAAGGGAGGTATTGGGTTGCGGCGAAGATGATGAGTATATGGGTGGTTGATGGTGTTGTGAGGTGAAGAAGACGGTGATTAATAGGTGGTTAAAATTGTGGAATGGTGATGGTGTAAGGTTAAGATGATGAAGATGGGTCAATGGTGATGGATGGAGAAGATCCAATTGTTTACAATGAGCCACCTCCTCTCAGTAACCTCATTGGAACTGCAAGGAGGGTTGTAAATATGCATTTAAGAATCAACCATAAAATTGGGTTCTAGCATTAATATATGGAAAAAGGGAAAATGGGTGGGTGTGATAGGTTTTTTTTTTCTCAAATTTGTAACAAAATAGAAGAGAGATGGTTGGTTCGGTAGTGGTGGTCCGGCGATGGTGGTCTATGGTGGTAGTGACGATGATAGTTTTGAGAGCAGATGTTAGAGAAAAAGTGGGAGAGAGGAATCCTAGGTTGGAATTTTATGGGGAGTGGAGTTTTTTATTTTCCTTTTTTATTTTACAAATAACTTTAAGAAAAATAAATAAATCAAAAAAAGAATAAAAATAGTAGAATAGTCATTTTATGTCTCCCAAGGGATGAGGCGTGTAAATTTAAACTAATAAGGGATGTTACATGTAACTTTTAACAAAATGAGGAACGGTCCGAGTTAATTTTTAAAAATAGAGACTGAACGTGCAATTTAGCACCTGACCGAGGGACGATTCGTGTAATTTACTCAATAAATAATTCTAAAAATGGTCTATTTTGTTTAATTTATGTCGTTTTTATTTTAAAAAAAAATGATAGTATATTAGTGGTTTAACTTTGGATATATTATGTGGTTTTGATTCTTATTCTCTCGTATAAATGAAGGGTTTTTTTTTAATTTTTTATTTGTCATACTCTCATTCAATTTGTCAAATGTAATTTTATGGTTATTTTGAATTTTTTTTTCACATGATATTTTATGAGTTTTTTTATTTTATTAAATTTTACATAATATTTTAATGTAATAATTGCAATAATTATAATAATAAATTTATATCAATTTTATTAATAAACTTACCTTTTAATCTCAAATTTTCTAAAATTAAAGCTTATTAGTTTCTTTTATTTATTTAAATTATTTTTTTTAATTTAAAAGATACAAAACATTTCAATTATAATAACTCATTATTTTTCTTATTTTCTTATAAATTCAAAATATTCAAATACTTTCACATTTATATTTAACTTTTTTGTTTTAAATTAACTCACATAATATGTGAGTCTCACAACTAGTGGTTAATATTTTTATATGATCATCCAAATTAAAATAACGAATATACCCTTAAAGATTTTTTTTAATTATTTTAATTAAAAGAAACATTTCTCTCTCTCTCTCTCTCTCTCTCTCTCTCTCTCTCTCTCTCTCTCTCTCTCCATCACCGGTCAACCCTCTCCCTCTATAATGTTTTCCTAGTCATAAATTATTTGCTTTGAGCTATTAAACCTGAACATCAAGCTAGGAATAGTTATTCATGACTTCTAAGACGTTTTAGACAATTTAAACACACACACACATATATATATATATATATATATATATATATATATATATATATATATATATATATATATAATAGGTCAGACAATATTCCAATAAATACAATGATATTTTAATTAAAGCTAGTTTAAACATTGGAATAATGCAAGAGTAAAAGAATCACCTTATGTGATCCAGGAGGCCCATGTTTTATGGACTAAACACCTTTAAGCCCAAGAAATCTATTAAAGCTCACATAGATGGATCTTGTTCTTTTTGTGAAGAAACTGGATACTGGAAGAAGATTTACTTATCTTTTTTGAAAAGAAAGTCTGGAAGAGACTAGTACTTCTTGTATCTACTAGATAGAACTTATATAATTTCATATAACGCTTAGGCACTTGGTACTTAAATGTTAATCTAATATTTGTAAATGGCTTATAGATATATATATATATATATATATATATATATATATATATATATATATATATATATATATATATATTGAAGAGTAATCGAGCTGAGCACAACCAAGTTGGAACTACACTCTCGAAGTTTAGTTTATTATTTATGCTTAGAACATAAATTACTTGTAATGTAAAACAATATTTGTTTTGGAACAATGATTGTTTTAATTTAGCATGTCTAAATTTATGTATCGGTTATTTTATTCAAATGTTTGATCATTTACTTAATTGTTTTTCATAGCAATAATATTTATATTCTGAAATGATTAACTTCTATTTATGAGACTAGATCTTTTAATATAAATGTAAAGTAAATATCAACATTTTTATAAATAAAATTAATTTCTATATGCAAACATTTTTTTGACTTAAACTTGTTTTAAATCAAACTCATCTTTGATTTTGTTATCTTTATTATATAAATGTCATTCACATATTCCAACTTCAAGAAATGAATCTTTATTATACAATGCGTGAAATGTTGTAATAAAAAGAAATCTTTTATTTCATTTATAAATTATAAACAAGGGAGAAGACGGGATGGAACCAACCTTCAATTGGGCATCTGCAAAATGTGTGGCAGGCATTGGAATATTGGCCATGGAATCACCCTAATGAGTTTGAAATAACTTGAAGATACACTTGAAATAACTTGAAGGTACACAATCAAACTCCGATTGCTATTCAATCCATACTGCATCCAAACCATAATAAAAAGCAAGTTAGGTTTCATATTTTCACCATTTTATCATTTTAGCCACTAAACCATCATTTTTTTATCCTAATAGTCATTGAAAAACTAGAAAACACCTTTATTTTTGTTCAAGAATCTACTCTTGATCTTCTTATTATTTTGTTTATTTCTAATTCCATAAACAACTTAACATATTCGAATGTTGGACAAAGATGATGATCTGATTAAATACAACTCTAAATCCTTCTAAATTGCCTTGTGATACCGGTCTTGAAATTAGCCAAATTCAATTCCCTAAAATGATTGTTCAAACCCACATTGAAATCCAAATAGCCAAATTGAAGAGATGTTAAGATACATAACTAAAAACTTGGGAATTAGGGATTCAATAAATACATTCCGCGAATAAGTTGTTGCCCTGAAGGTGTAAATGTTTTTATTCCTAGGGTTCCCATGATCGATCTGTCAAATCAAACTAGATAAACAAAACCTTAACCACTTCCAAATGCAAAAGCACTACAACATAAAAAAAATGTTCTCCAAAGATTTTTAGGGGTAGCACGGGCTACCCTTGGCTACCAATTGGTTCTGCCCCTGATAAAGTGGTCAAGATTTGATAATAAAGGGCTGTGATTGAACCAGAAAAGGAAAAAAAATACTTGCATTTTGGGGATCCAATTGCTTGTTTTGCATCAAGATTTGATAAAGCATCTTCAATGAACAACATTGCAGCATCTTTCCTTGATGTTCCCATACTAACATTGGTAATATATGTTGGGAGACTTTATGAAGAACATAACTTGAAATTAAGAGGTTATACTAGTTTTTAATAGAGAAATGTTGTCTTTTTCATGGGAGTAAAATGATACAATGACATATTAGAGATAGCAGACTGTTCTCTAATGCAACATCAAAAATGAATACAACCTTTCAACATTAGATGTTTGTTGTTTCATCACATCATTTTTCTTGAAATACCGAGAGAGAGAGAGAGAGGGAGAAAGAGAGAGAGAGAGAGAGAGAGAGAGAGAAAGAGAGAGAGAGAGAGAGAGAGAATACAGATGGTCGAGAATGAGCAACCATCAACTTTATATCTAATCTAAACTTGTCTTTCTTTTTTTAAAGACTATCTTTATATCTAATCTAAACTTGTCTTAATATTGCATTTAGGTGTCTTATTAAGGACTATCTTTATATCTAATCTAAACTCGTCTTTTTTTTTTTTCAGATGTCTTCCAACAATGTTGATTCTGGCTCAAACCCTACTAGCTCCTTCTCTCTCATGAACCTTTAAAGGAGAGTCATCTTCAATGGTTCCAACTTTATGGATTGGATCCGAAACATCAGGATGGTCACTCGATACGAGGACAAGTAATATGTCCTCAACAAGGAGCTTAAGTAACTTGATGTGACATCTGCTACTCCTGAGGAGATCGCTGATTTCCAGACTAATGAGAGAGATGCCGCGAAAGTGGCATGTATCATGCAAGCCACGATGACAGTCGAGCTCCAAAAGT